CAGGGGAAAATTACCACCTTACTGCTTCATTGTCTGGTGCTCAGTGGGCGGAGCTTGAGAAATCTTGACTTGAAAGAGCACATCCTTCTCACAGGAACTGACTGCATTGAGGGAGGACGTATTACTTAGGAAAGTTTAATTCTAGTTGAGAAAAAATATTCTACAGATAAGCAGTATTTTAGTTGTGCTGTATATTATTTGCATATTATTTAACAAAACTGTTCTAATTTCTTAAGAGCTACACTGTATAAAAAATAACAGCAACAACACAGAACAGAAAGTTAGTTTGACTTGAATATATATACATATTTATTCCAAGACTTTTGGAGCTGCTGCTTCAGTGAGAGGACTTTGTGAAAACGGTGAAAGCATTACTATCCAAAGATAATGATTTTCTCGAAGATACAGTTTAGGTTTTTTGTGTATTAAGTATTGCCTCCTTATAAGAGAAAAAGTTTTACCAAAAAAGTGACATCAGAACTTGGGCTGTAGCTTAGGGCTTGTAGTGTTCCTTCCTAGTGAACTTAAGACCCTGGTTATGATCTTCATTAATGAACAACTAAAGAAAATGAAAAGGGGAATGAAACAAAAAGAGCAGTGTTACTAATGTTAGAATACAATAAAAGGGAACTAACAGCCTGTGAACAGGTCAGGTAAATATTTCTAGGGACAGAGAGCGAGAAAACTGCTCAAAGATATTGGTACAAATGAGGGAATAGGAGATAAATTGGAAAGTATAAGTATAAATGGTAGTTTCAACCCTTATGGTAAGAATTCACTCTCTTCAATATTTATGAGACTAGAGACGACTCATGATTTATCTTAGTTCAACTTCTGTTGCTACAAAAAATACCCAAGGCTGACTGCTTCATAGAACGAAGAGGGCTTATTTAGTTCACTCTTTGGGAGGCTGAAAGCCCATATTTTGCAGTCCCACCGTCTGACCTATAGTGAGCTCTCCGTGGTAGAGATTATTACGGGAATGAATGAGTGCTAAAGGGGATCTCACGTTCAGATGGGAACCCAGAGAAGTCCAGGAGATCGCGCTTTTTGTAAACACTTGCTCTAATGTGTACTTAGCACCATAGCACAAGCACGACCCATTGTTTAGGGCAAAAGTATAAAGAATTCACCGGCTTAATAAGGCACATTTAAACTATGGGGTGTGTCATCTGTGTATGGTGAGTATTTAAACTTAAAGACTGTATTACTGTAAAAGACATATTGCCATTAATCCCCAGCAAAATATTGTACCTGAGTTCAAGCACGTTTATCCCATTATTTTGCCACTTTCTTTTTTTCTTTCCGGTACCGGGAATCGAACTCACAACCCCATGCTTGCCAGGCAGGTGCTGTGCTGCTGAGTTAAATCCCCTGCCCCTTCTTGCCACTTTCTGAAATGGTTCTTGAAGTCCTCTTCTGTGGGTGGTTTCATAAACTGTGATTAAGGGCTGGGGATTTAACTCAGCGGCAAAAGCGCCTGCCTGGCAAGCGCAAGGTCGTGAGTTTGGTTCCCGGTACCGGAGAAAAACCAAAAAAAAATAAAAATAAAAATAAAAAATAAACTGTGATTAAAATATATGGTGAATGCCACTGCCAAGTACCATGCAGCAGAAAGGCAGCTTCTAAAACGTTACAGTGTATTGTCATCAACCTTATTCACTGGACCCGGGGCCTTGAAACTTCTCCTTATTCCCCAGTGTTAAATATTTTAAGTTGACTCAGGACATTGAAGCAGTTACAGAAGCACAAGTGAATGATATCCAGTGTGCAAATCAACACAGATCAAAATAACTCACAAGCTGTCAAAACTGCAAACATCCATGACTTTGTCCAGCTTGCCATAGAGAAAGGGCCACATCTGTAACTTGCAAGAAAGCTCTCCTTAGTATTGTCTGAAAACCTAGCTAGTGAATATGAGGCGCCTCTCTGTCAAACTGAAGCACTTTCATTTTGTTTTCAATGACAGTACTGCAAGTGAAAATATTACTTGTTGTGCTGACTCCATGTAAATCCAAAGCCAGAACACGCTTGTGTCATTAACGTTATAGAAACATAAGACATGCTGCTGTGTATAGCACTTCTAATTTCATCCTCATGCATTAGATGGCATTCGGGAATAGCTGGTTGATGAAACAAGCTGGTTGAATTGCCCATGAAATATAATTATTTTTGTGCAGAATACCACACGACTGGGTATTTTCAAGAAATAATTAGAGCTCCCTCTGCTGCCAGGAAATGCATTTTACCTTAATTTTGATTAAAATAGACCACCTACATCCTCCGATGTCTACTCCATATATTCTTTGTATTTACTACCAACATCTATTTTTAAAAATCATTTTAAACAATACTATTTCCTTTTTAAGGTAAAGCACGCCAATTAAATTTCATAGCTGATTATTTTAGGCCACACAAAATTGTCTTCACTTAAGTAATAAATACAAAGTTCTTTGTGATAAAAAGAAAATGTCAAAATGCAAAGAATTATATTGCTCTCAGGAATGTTATAATTACTGAGAATTTCAGAACATTAATGATTCAATATATCTTATAAAATTGAACATATCAACTTTTGCTTAAGTGGAACTGAGGTCCTGAACCTGATTACAGTAATCTCTGTACACTCAAGGTATGTGTAAATTAGTAGCTCACATATAGTTATAGAAATTTCAAAATGTGTCATTGTGAAATGCTACATAAAGTCAGAAATATAACTGAATTGATTAGTAACATGATTGAGATTTTGCAGATACATCTTCTATTCAATTTTCATTCCAAAACATGTACACAGAGTAAGGAAAACAAAAGTAATTTTCCCATGAGGATGCTGAGACCTGAGAGTATTCACTACTACTTTCACTTGCTGTAGTTCAAATTCTTTTTCAACTAAGTTGTGCATTACTTCAGATCATGTTTCTCTAATGTTACTAGGATAATTACCAGAGCTATTGCTTTGATTTTTTATTGGTGGTTCTATGATCACTATCAATAAGAAACTTCAACACGGAGATTAATTTTAGCGATAATTAAGTTTAGTGATAATGTAGGGATGACGCAGAGGACAACAACGGTATTGAATGTAAACTATGACCTCAGAAGACCTCAGAGATCAACACTTACTTTCTAGAAGAGGGAAGCCAATTCCAGTCTTATGCTTTTGTAATCACACTGAGTAGATAGCCAAAAGCTTCTCAACTGTGTTTTTAGAAATAATACCACATGCGTATTACATGAATTTTACTTTTATAACTGTGGTAACGAAGGAGTTTGACATTTTGCTGTGGTGACGAAGGAGTTAGAAAATACACATCTGCTCAACGCTAAGTGATGCACACAGCTCTAAACTCATGAGTCTGGGTTTATCTTGCCTTTAGAGTAAAACAAGTTCAGCAGAATGGATAGAAAATCATTAGCAATGGATATAACCTAGTACTACACCAAGACTTCAGAAAATAAAAATTTAGTACAAATTTCCTGCAGAATAGGCAAGATATGTGGTTAAAACAAAATAATGTAAAAACATTCAAGAATAATTCCAATACGCTAAACCAGGACTTAGTTGTTGCATTGTGGCTTGGATTATTATTATTACAGAAAGTAGCAATAAAAAGTGTAAAGCAGGTATGGAAAGGTGAGAAGGAAATTGGACAAGACAGAGAAGTAGGAATGGTTGAAAGAGATTGATTCTGACATTTATACAGGTCAGAGGCTGGGAGAAAACATTGCTAGACTAAGATTTCAATTCTGAGGACAGTGAGTTAGTCTAAGAATTGGAACCTATAGTAATAAAAGTGCATTCTCAGAGATGATATATTTGCTTTTCTATGTAAGAGAATGACATTATTCTTGGCATTAACATAACTACATTTCAAGAACTAGCTAAATTTTTTTGAATTTGTTACAAGCAAAAGAAAATAGTTTACTACAATGTGTAAGGCTTTGCATGTACATTATTCTATAAAAGATTCTATCTCTTTTGTAAAATTGAAACAAAAAAAACTGTTGAGGTTTAGATGCCAAGATTTTTGTAGGTGGAGAAGGAATGTGTTCAAGATTAGTTCCAAGCTTTTTCAAAGAAGAAAAGGAAATGGTGTTATATTTTAGTTACTGGAAAATACCATTGGTGTTAGGTTAAGACAGCTTTCATTTTTTACTTTCTGTCTCTTCATTTGCAGCCTTATAATATCTGTCATTTACACATGTGACACACGGTGATTTATTCCTTTTCTTTCTCTTTTCGTCCATTTCACTAGATCTTATTTTTTATCACTCTGTCTTTATTTGAGTAGTAGGTTTATTTCCTAAACTATAGCCAGGGTTTTCACAGTCAAATGTTAACTGGAAGTCGTTGAGGATTCCGTCATTATGTAAGACACACTGAGAAATTTGAAGAGATTAATGTTTACCTATAGAATGAGTCATTAAGGAACCACTAAATTTTGAATTATTTTATGACTATACTAACAAAACGCGGTCAGTGATGGTAGAAATTCTGTATGAATTATTATAATTAAAAATTAATTCAGAATCATAACTAAGACCTTGGAAGATGGAAGGGATCCTTGGTTCCCAGACACGAGACCTGTTATTAAGCAAAACATAAAAATGTAGAAATTATCAAGCCGACTCAGGGAAAACTATGGCTTCCTCCAAGTCTAGACAAAAATATTCGTAGAAACCTTTATTAAAAAACAAGAATATAGGAATGCGAGAAAGTGAGTGTTTTAAAACTTTATGTAGTGAGTATGTAAAAAGCCCTAAACAACTGTATCTTCTAAATCTGACCTCCAAATACTGCAATAAGATACGCAACGAATTATTAAACGGTTAAGATGGTCCCATGCTTACCAGGAGGTATTTCCGCGCGTCCTCTCATTTCTTGCTGCATATCCACGCGCAAGGCCGTTATTGCAGATAATGAGGAAGGAACTGGAGCGACTCCTTTCGTTAAGGAGACGGGAGTAAAGCATGCAGTGGAAGCAGGAATCCACCGCTCCTTCCACGGCCTGCGGAGGAAACCCACCTCCCACTGCGATGAGCTGGTCAGCATAGGCGCGGCACACAATGATTTTGTATGTTAGTCTATGATTTTGCCTTTCAATTTACCAATTCAAGTTTAAGCAAACAAATAAATAAACTGTTATAATGGCTTCTTAAAAAGAAAGATTGAGGCCAGATGACTGCCCTGTTAGAACGGCTTGCCTGTTAGCGCATGCATCCCCTTCCCGCTCCTCAGCACTTGTACATTTTGTGTAAATGTGATCCTCAACTCCTTAAGATTTAAGATTAACCTGTGACAAAGCTGGGATAGATGGGAATTTTTATCTTTAAAATTTGCAGGGAAAATCTCTGCAAAATAGGAGGCAATAATGAGTTACTAAGTAGAACCTTAGCAGCTTAAGGGTCACGAAGGACCACTTACAAAAAGCGTGGTAAGGGGTGAAGGAGTGACTATCATTTGCTCGGGAGGCAGTGGAAAAACCTGGAGAAGAATGCAGTCCGAATATTGGGAGCCAGATCCTCCCTGCTGTTTTACCAGTGCAACCTGGGCCCAATCTCTTAAATTCTTTGTATTTCTCTTCCTTTACCTTTTGAATAAGGATTATGATAGTATATCCCTTGTGCTGACACACCCCTTTCAGTGTGATAGGAAGTTAACAATGGTGATTTCATTTAATTGTACAATTTTGTTCTACCCTTTTTCTATCTCTGAAATTTGGGATTTTAACATGCCTTTATGTATCTGTCGATGAAAAAATTTGAAAAAATATGAGAGAAGAGGGGGAAATAGTTTATATTTTATAACTAATTACTTATTTCAGGCAGTACTCAGCTAATTTGAAATATTATTAGGGCATATACCTGTTGTACAGTCTTTTATTGTCCTCCGCACCTCCTACTTTTATCAGCAATTTGTAAATGTACCGTGCCAAAAATGTTTTCAGTTATAGATTACCCCTAGATTATTAGACTACTTGCTAACTGTTGTTTATTACATGTACATTAACTCTCGATTTTCCTTCCCTTAATATCATAGTCACATTTAAACAGTACGGTGACATTTACAATTTAGAAGATGTGCAAGGTAAGATGCGTTTGATTGGAAAAAAAATGCATATGGATCCTCAGAACAGACAAGCTATAGCCAAGTTCAAAATATACATAACTCTCTTCCAGATATTCCATTGTAGAAGCAAAAAACAACATATTGCGTTCACACATAAGGATGAAAATGCCATACCCTATTCAGGGGAGACAGGTGTTAAATTACAGGCACGTGCATTGTTCATATGGTATCGATGTCCTTCAAGTTTGTTTGACATTCTGGAAACAACGTGACTGCAACTCATGAATAAAATTGGAATCATTTTCTTTCCTTTTTAAAATTGTATTTTTTTCTTCATTCTCACTTATATTGGAAAGAAAAGTAGAGGTAAATTCATCTATGTATCTTATTAGCACAAAATAAATTATGCATAGAAATACCAACTAACTATGTGGAGCACATTTTACATTTCTACTTTCACATTATTCTTTCTCTTTCTTGTGGTGTAAAATGGGAATAATCTGTACAGCCGCGTTGAAAATGAAGTGACCACATTTCTAACAGTCAGCAGAGGAAGACAAATGAAAGGACATGGGGTTTGTAGAAGAGTAAAATTAGATAAATAAATTTTATGTCGTTTGCAAATATTTTAGATATTCTAATGCTATCATCCATCATGCAGTTTACTCAATAGGAGAGAGACAGGCGTGATTCTGCTGCATTAAACAGCTCTGGCTGACTGTAGTTTCAGATACTGAGGGAAAAGATACATCTGCACATGCATAAATTAGGAAAAATGATCGCTTGTATTTCATAAATGGCTCTTTCTCTATATTTTATATATTTCTGTTTTTCTTTTAATCTAGTTTTCACCAAAATTGGATAAGCAGTGGAGAAACTGAGAAATGGAGGAATTTTAATGAGTTGATTCTAAGATGAGAAATATCTTTTACAGAAAGGTAATATAGTGCTATCTTTGCTTGGAATACACTGTGTGCGCATATTAATATATGAAATACATTTATAACTAATATATTTGTATTCATGTTTAAGACTCAAATATATTAATAGAAGAAGCTTCACATCACCCAGCAAAGTCATGGTAGCTTAGGGTTATCCCAATGATGTTAGTAATGGTGTGTCTATATTCCCTTTAATTTCAACACCTAGTCTTCAAGTCAAAACTTATACCATGAAAAATTTATTTTTAGGCAACTTTAGAGTTTAGACTAGTAAAATATTATTAAACAGTTATCTTTTCCAAGAAATCAAATACGAAGTCATTGAATATATTAATTCATGAGTATTTAATGCCCACAACTTTATTTACCCACTATATTACCAAATAAAATTTATAAGAAATTTCTTAAAAACTGCAGTGCCTTTCTATAAGGAAATAAAAGCTATACCTGAGATATACAGCAAATACTTGAAAAATTAAAATAATACAAAAATATTAGAATTAAAACAAAATCCATTTGGTCAACCTGAAAATAAAATAAGTGAAGCTAGTGTTCTTAAATATGATGGCCTGAATGTAACTACCAAAACAGATTATCAAAACCACAAGCTTGTGCAGAGGCTATTTCCACCTCATACACGGAGTTCTTCTGCAAGGACATCTGAGGAGCAACTCTGTTCAATCTTGGGCTGATGCCACTCTTGTTCTTAAGCATTCTTGGCAAGGAGTAGTGTTCCCAAAGATGTATCCTAATCCTCCTGTTTGTTTTTAAGAACCTGCACTAGCTTCAACCTCTTTGAATATGCCCAAGGATTGCTGTGGCATTCACATTCCCATTGAAGCATTCCACTATTCCCAAATAAGCATGGTATCAATATTCTTTGGAGGCTATCTCTGATGAATTTGCTTAGGTTGCTGAAGCAAATGATAAACAAGGAAATGGAATGGATGCATATTAATACTGTACATATTTGTAGAAATATATATCAAGCAAATATATATAAATAATGCTATTCCATAGACAATGCCTTGGCTTAAACTAGTAAGTATTGCATTATTCAGAGCTCTCTGGAGAGACAGAACTAGCAGGATATGTAAGAAGTGAAAAATTAGGGAATTAGCTTACAGAATCATGGAAGTTGAGAAGTCACTGTATAGGCTCTTTTCAACCATTCCTTAAGCAAATCAAGTTGATAACCCAAAACTAACCATCACAGAGATAAAAGGAAGTCACAATAAACATTTAAAGGAGAAGAAAGATGTTTCCACAAATTGAAGAAAGAGTAACAACAACAACAACAACAACAAAAAACCACAAATAGACTGAGTGGAATATTTTTTCCTTGCATTGTAGAAGACTTACATTAATGTTACGTCAGAAAAGAAGTCAGAATCTAAAAGGACAAACAAAGAAACAAAAACAGCCTAAAAATAAACAATATTACTTTAAGAGAGTTCTGCACAGCCACAGAAATATTCAGCAGTGTAAAACACAACTTGTAGATATTAAAATATTACAGAATCCTAGAGATAATAAAGAGGTAAGCATGCAAAATATATTAATCTATAAAATGATTCTTGAGAAAAAAGTAACACAGTTAGCAAGTAGGCAAATGACCTGAACAAACAGTTCTCAAAAGATGTGCAAATGGTCAGTAGATATATGCAAAAAATCGCTCATCACCACCATTCATGGGATTTACATAAATTAAAGCCACAGGGATTTGTTGCTTCACAATTATTAGAATAGCCACCATCAAAAAATCAAAAGTACTGGTAAATATGTGCAGCAAAGTGGATGTTTGCACATTATTGATAAGATGTAAATTACTATCCTTTATGATAAAGAACACATAGGTCTGTGAAATATTTAAAGATAGAATTGCTATATAACGTAAGAATCCCAGTACTAGGTATGTACGTGAGTTATCAAAAATGAGTACATCATGATGTACTGTGTTCTCAGATTCCTTATAGCTCACTCGCTGTAAGTAAGATACATAACTTATTGAGGTGTTCATCAGTCTAGGAACAAATAAAACATATGGGAGCAGCTGAGCCGGAGATCAATCACACATGCAGGGAGCAGCTGAGCCGGAGATCAATCACACATGTGGGGCTAATGCAAGGCCAGCCCAGGAACACGGAGTGCATGAGGTGAGCAAGACAAATAAGTTGTTAGGCAGGTCCTTTCTCCCACCTGTTATCAACCTCCTGCTGATTGTATAAATAAATGTGCTGCAGTTGGGCAGTTCTTTTTCTCCCATCAGGAGAGAAGGCTTCACCTGACCTCAGCTTTCTGCATTCTGACTCTTGTCTGTGTTTCTTCATCCTCCACCATCCTCCCTCCAGGAATTACAGGAGCCATACTGGATGCAGCAATGGTATATGTCTACCACTGTACATATATGGTGATAGATAGATATAGACATAGACATAGAGATGATAGAGATAGAGACAGAGACAGATAGAGACAGGGATAGAGATATATTACAAAAGAAGGGAATCTTTCCATTAGGGACAACATGGAGGATGTTGTGCTAAATAAAATGAACCGGACTCAGAAGGACAAAATACTGTACTGCATTATTTAAGAATGGTGAACATCGGTGTGGCCGCAGAAAGAGCCGAGGAGATGCTGGTCAGAGGGTACAAAGTTTCACTTAGGAAGGAGGAATGGCTTCCAGAGGGCTGCTGTGCACCGTGAGGATTACAGATAATGTATTATACAGTAGTTCTGAAAGTCACAAAGGTGTCAAGCGTCCTCCCCACCACCCTCTAAAGGAAGGTAAGTATATGAAGTGATGCATGCAAGTGAGCTCCATTTAGCGGTTCAAACTGTATGCATATGTTGTCAGTAAAAACAGATAGATAAGAAAATAAATAAACTGCAAGGGAATAGAAAGGTGATGGCCAGGATCAAGAGAAGCAGAAAATGCACATTCTCTGCTCGTGGTCATATGGCTGCAACTATGTAAGACACCAAGTTCAGCAAGTCAGCCTGCAGGTATTTCTCAACAGTAAGCTGTGTGCCGCGCACTGTAGATTTCTTGACAATGGAAAAGGAACCGTGATGGTGTAGTATAGAAAGAATGCAGAGAAAAACAAGAAAGACATGGCATCAGAATATGAAAATAGGCTTATTTTCATTAAGAAAAATAGGTGAAGAGTGCTTCACAAACACAAACTGTTGGAAGAAGTTCGGGAGGCGCATATGGATACAAATTTGGAACTATGGTTAAGATGTACTTTCAAGTATATGTTGAGATTTTCGGTTAAGAACATTATAAACTCATCTGAGATGGAGCTCCTATGCTAAAACACACAGAAATTATGCATAAGTAGAACGATTTCAAAAGTTTCCAGTAGGATCATAAGAAATAAAATTAAATTTAAAGCATGTAAAAATCAAAAGCATGCTAAAAACTCGAAATACAGTTATTGTGAGTTGGGCGGTATGTGGGTAACAGAAAACTTTTGACCCAAAATATACTATCAGGCATATGCAACCTACAACCTACAGGCCACTTGCAGTCTTATTTTTTAAGATAATGAATATAAAAGAATAAAAGAAGTTACTTATATCCAGCAACTAAATGTTATACTTTATTTTCATTTTTTAAAGATATTATATTTTATGAAGACCAAGATTATGTTTTATGAGGACCAACATAATACCACTTCCTTTAGCGTGGACCAGACAAGCCAGTAGGTTGGATTTTGGGCTTTAATGCATGAGACAGAAAAAAAAAAAGAGAAAAAAAACAGAGACAGAGACAGAGACAGAGAGGCAAAAAGCACATTAAGAACATTGTATGAAGATAATCTCTAAAAAAGTTGTATACTCAGAGAAACTGGAGACACATACAGTGATTCACAACATAGGAAGAAAATCTGTGTGTGTGTATTTGTGTTTTGTCTCTGGGATGGTCTTTTTGCCTTGTAACCTGAACGAGAAAAAAATGATTCTGTTAAAACTTTAAAAAGATCACACACACACACACACACACACACACACACACACACGCATGCCTGTGCGCACAGACACACAAATATCAAACACTTATTTTAGAAACCTGTTATAGTGTACCACAGGAAAAAGAAGTCATTAAGTTAATATATCAAACTGTGGCCCTAAACTAATAATACATTTTGTCTTATAAATTAGGAGATGCAGGATTCTCATGGGAAGATTTCTTCTCAAAAAAGTGTTCTTATTCCAAGAAAGCTCATTATAAAAATATAAGAAGCGTAAGAATGCAGCAAAACAACCTACAGGGCAATATACCCTAAAGAATTAAAATAAAAGAATAATCTGAAGGTCACCATAACATAATTATTTTTCAATGATTAAAGAGATTAAGAAGAAAGTACACCAACATGCTATAAAATGCATAAGTAGGAAGTGAGAAAGATATAGATGAATGTGTAGATAAACAGACAGACAGACAGACAGACAGACAGGTCCACAGTTGTGGCTTGGATCGGAACGGCCCCCACAGCCTCCCGCTTTCAGCGCAGGGCTTCTGGAAGGTGAACGGATCACGGAGGGGCTGTTGCACTCAGGGCTAAATGTGCTGTTGGAAGCGGGGCTGTGATGTGGGCTCGGGCGGAAGGGCGCATCTCCCTGCCTGTCTCTTTCCCACTCTGCTTCCAGGCCCGCGGGACCGGGCTCCACCTCAGACACGTCCTTCCACCCTCTGTGCTCGAGCGGGAGCCGGACCATCCCAGCGCAGAGACTGTTGAAACCGAGCTAAAATAAACCTTCCCTCTTTACAAAAAAGAAAGAAAAAGAAAAAAGAAACAGAAACAAGATGTACATTCATTAAAATAAAAACTTAAGCGTTTCATAAATTAGACTCAGCCTTTAAAAAACTTCTATGACCTAAAATGTGTATTTGGAAAATGGTAAAATCAACTTTAGAAATAAAAATACTAAATCTTCATCTAAATAGTAGATTATTGAATTTCAGAATATCAAAGACAAAGCAACAATTT